CCCCCCCCCAGCTGTCCAATAACCCCCAGTTTGCCCAGAGCGAAGTCAGTTACAGCGTGATTAATTATCTTTAAATACTGACGCAGACGTAATCGGACCTGAGGACGCCGTGCTGTGTTATTTAGTATATGCTTCCTATTCCCACAGTGCGATTCGAAATAAAATATCGAGATCGCTGAAGCATTTGAATATTTCCAAGTTATGTTTAGTGGCGTTTATTTGCTGTTGGCTAATTATGGATTTTTTCCTTATCTCAAAATAGACTCGTATTGGCAACAATATACTGAAGAGTATTATGCCTTAAAATTCTTATTGCAATGGAGGTTTGAATGTATGTGTTTCTGTAGTCATGGGATTATAGAAGCAAGAATTGTAAAGCTGGCAAACGGTTCAGGAATATGCGCCAACCGCCTTAGTTTACAGGCTTTAAAAAAGCCGTATGGAAGTTCTACTGAAAGTAGAACCTGTGTCTCCAGACCGTATGATGCTATTATGTGACAGACCTGTAACAAGACTGAATCACATTGAAATAAAGTACATTCTATGTATGTTAAATAATTCTCAGATCCAAGTTGGTTTTTGTTGTTTTGTGTGTTTATTCTTAGTTTAGTGCAGTATCAGGACAGGAAAATTAGAACTAACCTTTGAGTTCCTATTATATCCGGCATGTGCTAGGAACTCTGATATCCCTAATCTTAGAGAATCCTTACTATAACCCTGTGAAGTAGGTAATATCCCCATTTTATAAATAAGGACAACGAGTCAATGAGAGTAACTTTAATGGCCATTTGATTTCAAGGGTAGCAGATTCCAACTTAGGTGTACGGGATTTCCAAAGGCTTTTTTTAATGAAACAAATATAGATTAGGTGATTATGCTTTCTAATGTCTAATACTTCTATTTGTTCTTGATGGAAAAATAGTCTAGATATTAATAGTAGTTATGTGCACAAGAAATATTTTGATTGTTTTTGAACTCTGTCACTTGAAGAGAGGGTGTCAAATTTCATCTGCTATGATTCTTGATATTGTAAAAATTAAGTGAAAAAATTCACTTATAATAATCTATAATACCTCATATGTATTGATTTTTTTTGAGCCATAAATTAAATATCTAAAGTCAATATAGACTTCTTTTGGCCCCATAAATAAAAAGTCTAAGTTTTTTACATCTCATTTTTATCTTCAAAATTGTGTAATTGATAAGATTCCAGTTCTTCAAGCGGCAGTTATTGAGTTGAAATACAGTCATGCATCGTTTAAGAAGGGATACATTCTGAGAAATATGCCATTAGGCGACTTCGTTGTTGTTTGAACATTGTAAAGTGTACTTACACAAACCTAGATGGTATAGCCTACTGCACACCTAGGCTATATATATAGCCTATTGCTCCTACCACCGTTGTATGTGCAGTCTGTCATTGACAGAAACGTCTTATGTGGCTAATGGCTATACTGTTTTCCCTACTACTTAATCCAATCAGTTGAGGTGCTGTAGGAACCACCCTGGAAAGTACAACACAGATTTAGATCCTGAGTCTACTATTTAAATTCCAGGGATCATCAGCAGTTAAAGTGTCTAAGGCATAAGTGGAAGGAAAGGCAGAGTAGGAGACAAAAAAGAAACATGGCATATCATGAGAAAGAGTAGAATCCTTCCAACAGTTGTTTTAGTCAGCTCCGTTTGAACAGAAGATAGCTAAAAGGCCCTGGAATCTGGAGGTATTCCAGTAGTCAGTAGTCAAGAGTAATGATCAGATGATTCCAGATTATATGTTACAATCACAATTTTTCTCATTAACACAAACAATGTGTGTTAAAATTGACAAACATATCCTAAAAGTCACAGATATCTGTCTAAATTACTGATTGCTCTAAATTACTGATTGTCTAAATTACTGATTGAGCCATAAATGAAATATCTAAAATCAATATAGATAGATGTTGAAGATATTCAAAAGAACATTGTGTCTGAAAACAGCCCCACCTCTAGAGGGAAGAGTGGTAATGCCAAGAAAAGTAAGCGGTAAATTCTAATTGGTGCCAGAATACTCTTTTGCTCTCAGTTCTTCCACGAATCTTTCCACATTATTGAAATTCATACAGACTTTAGTACTGCTACTAGGAATATTAAAAGTTGTGAGTAGTTTTCCCTGATTTTGGAGGAGAAGCTCAGTGTCTTAACATATTTAAAGATGGTATGCTTTCCTCTTATGGCGTTAGTCATTTGAACAGTTTTATTTCCGTAATACAATTGGTGTTATTACATTTTGTTCTGAACTTTTTTTTGTAGAAAATATCTGCATAAATGTGCTTACCTACGTATTCTGTTATGGATATGGATTTAATGGGATGATGGATCAATTTAGAAAATGAAAAGAATGAAGGTGGGAGGCTTACAGTGCTAAATACTAAAACATATCGCAATACTGTAAATAATTAAACCAGTGATCCGGATGCCAGTAGAGATAGCATGATGGAATGGGAAAGAAATTATGTAAACAGCAAAGCATGTAAGATTGTTCTTCTTGAAAGGTAGGATTTCAAATCTGGAAAAACAATCACTTGTGCAATACGTGATCCTATGATAGTTGGAGGAAAATCATATTGGAGGCTTAGGATTGAAGAGTTAAATATAGAAAAATTAAGCTATACCTTAAGAGAATTATATGAACATTGTAAAATTTTGAGCTGGGAAAGGAAAATCTCGGGGGGAAAAACTACAAAGGAAAAGATTGGCAGATTAAACAAAAAAATTAAAAAGTGATTTTTAAATACCACAAAATGAGAAGGTAAATGACAAATGGGAAAATATTTGCAACATAGGAGAGATCTTCAAAAAGATCCTGGAAAGATTTGTATTATCTTAGTTTTTCCACAAACTTTTGAAGTACTCTTGTATATGATAGGCAAATGTCCTATGAAAAATAAAGATCGATATCCCCATTGAAAAATGAGCAATTGATAAGCACAAGCAATTTACAAAAGAAGAAATAAAAACATAATACAAGTGAAAGAAACCCCGCTGAAAATAACAATGAGGTTTTTATTCTTCGATTTGTAAAGATTAAAAACAATTTGGAGGAAGAGCATGGGGAAATGAATTATTAATATACTGTTAATGGGAGTACAAATTTGTGTAACCTTTCTGAGGAGAAATTTAGCAATGTGTATCAAAAGCTTTAAGTATGTATTCTTTTTAACCTAATAGTGCCACTTTATGTATTCATAGATGGTCACATAGGCCATCTATGTCATGTGGAAGACATTTATCATTATTTTTAAATGCCTGGAATCTGAACCTCCTTTCTCTATTTGTGGTATTCCTCCACTGAGTGAGTCTTGTCAGTGTATTTAATTTAGTTGTTCAACTACCTCCTACCTACAGAATGTAAAAAGATACGTAAAGATAGGTAGTTTATTTCATATTGTATCCGCAGTGTCTAGAAGTAGTTATAGCTCATAGCAGGTACCTAATAAAAATACTGTGAATGCTGGGTACTCACTTTTCCAGACTCACTTGCAGCTAGGATGTGGGCAAGTGCTTGGACTCTACATAGATCAGAGGCTGGTTCTCCAGCCGCCTTGAAGATTCCGTGAGCTACTTAATATTCATTTCAAAAAAAACCCAAATAATATATTGTTTAGAGATACATATCTTTTCATAATTTTATGGACTAGTTATGTTTTCTGTGAAGATGCTGGTTCATGTCTTTTGCTCATTTTTCTATTGGGTTATTACTCTCTTTTTTCTTTACTGTTTTACAAATTATTTAAATATATAGTTGTATGGGAGGAATATCTCTTCAGTTTATAGCTTATACTATTTTGATCATTCTTTTGTTAGAAGTTATTAATTTCAATATTTCCCTTACCGCTTTTGTGCTTTCTTCATCTTGTTTAAGAAATCTTCTCCTACATGGAGGTCATAAAATCTCCAATATTGTCTTCCAAACATTTTACAGTTTTGCCTTCATATTTAATTTTTTTTACCCAGATTTTTTGTTTGTTTTGTGGATTGGTTGGTTGGTTGGTTGGTTGGTTGGTTGAAGATAGGGATCCAGTTTAATTATATTTCCCATGTGGAAAACCACTTGTCCTCATGTCATATATTCCCCACTTTTCCCACTAATCTGCAAACCCAATCTGTCATATATCAAGTTTTCGTTGATGGGTGATCTGTTTTTAGGTTCTTTGTTCTGTTCATTTGGTCTAGTTGTTTATTCTTGTGACAGAACCACACTAAGTTACAGTAGCTTTAGTAAAGGTCTAATGTTGCGTGTGAAAGCTCCATGCCCGCTCTATCTTGT